TGACTGCCCTCTATGTGAACTCGCGGTTAATACAGCGACCTTCGAGAGGTTAACACAATGACAACAATGGTACCTATTATTGATTTCGATGCCTGTAGCCTTGCACGCAGCAAAGTGGCCAGCGATCGGTTACCAGAGCTTGCCCGTTCCCTGCTCAAATCGTTGTCGGTTGACGGAGTGGTGATTTTAAAGAATCACGGTATTGATGAAAAAGAGGTATGTTAGTTTTCTCAGTTTTCACCCATTCAAGCGTTACAACGCTATTGACATGCAACCATTACGGCACGTTTTATCAGAATGCATATCTCACTGGGAAATCCCGCTACAGTGAGCCTGAATAATCGCGAACGTGATCTTTTTTTTGCAGTTCAGATGTAACGACTGCTTTTTAGTTGTCGGGTCATGATGACCTTGACACAGTTTGGGAACTGATAAGCCCTGTACTATGAACTATGACCTCAAGACAAGGACGTTTCCCTCGAAAAGATGACGTATAACATGCTGGACATGGCCGAACCGATTTTAAAATATCGAGTCCAAAAGGGTAGAAGGAAACGACATGCACGTAACGGATAATACAAATACAACGACTGTCCGCGCAGAACCGGGGAAAGCCACCGGTGGTGGCGCTATACAATTTCAAACTATTAGTTGGCTGACACTGAAATATACAATTACTATAACACGTAAATGAACAAATCTAGTATCCAGTTTAATATGACGGGAATTACCTCACAAGACATGTAAGACGAAGCCGAAAATATGTGGTTGTGATATTTTATGATACATTTTTCCCGAATAATAATTGATGACACGATAATCTCAAATGCCGCAACAAATGAATCGCTGCAGTACACAGAAACAAATCAGACGAAATGAACTACTGTAAGCTCTGAGCATTGGGTTACTGGTAATTATTTAATAGATTATAGATTTTTGAAACTGTAAGACTCGTGGCTGGCTTATAATTTTCCTTTTTTTTTTTAATTAATAAAAAGTTGATGTTGAAAGTCGAAACTGTTACCGGGAATACAATCTGTAAATTACTAGTGAGAGAATCCATCGAACTTCATGGACGTATGTATCCCAGCATAAATAGGAATAGTAGTTTATAAATAAATAAATAAACGCTGCTCGGACTGATAAGTATGATATATTGAAG